TGCTTGTGGTATGGGAATGTTGTTTAGTAAAATTGTTGGAGATGTACTCCGATTTAAGGTGAAAATGACGTGTCTACATTTTACTTCGTTAATTTTAATTCACCATTTTGACAACCATTTCTCCACCCGATATAAGTGAGATTGAAATTGGTTTGAAGCTAGCGCAACGTTTATGTTTCGGCATAAAATTGCCGTATCGTCGGCAAACGTTGTGGTGATAACTGAACTACTTATCGGGATATCAGATGTGTAAAGTACATACAATATAGGGCCAAGAACACTTCCTTGTGGAACGCCAGCTTCTATTGGGAAATTATTAGAAGTATATGATTTGCATTTCACTTTAAAGCTTCTATTATGCAGATACGATTCTAGAACTGAGTGGACATTTGCAGGTAATGAATAGCGTATCTTATATATGAGTCCATTATGCCATACTTTATCAAATGCTTGTTTAACATCAAGGAATACCGCTGAACAATATTCTCTGAGCTCAAATGCGTGTCTTATTTCATTCGTTATACGATTCACTTGCTCAATAGTTCCATGTTTTTCCCTAAAACCAAACTGGTGGGACGGTATTAAGTTTTGAACGTCAAGGAACGGTTTTAGCATGGTTTTAGAAAGGCATGGCAGTAAGCTTATTGGCCTGTATGAACAGGCAAGCGTGGGGTCTTTACCTGATTTATGAATTATAATAATCATGGATGTTTTCCACTCTGTTGGATAAAAGCCAAATTTAATTATGGCATTAAAAAGTCTTGTGATAAAATTTATGGCCAAAAGGGGTAAGTTTTTTATCATGATGGGTGAGATATTATCATATCCCGGTGCTTTTTTGCAATCTAACTTATTTGTGATTATTTGAACAAGATCATTGGCCGTGATATTCATGTCAATAGATGGTGCTGGTGGATCTTGAGTGGGAAAGTCATATTGTCCTGCTGCAGGATTTGGTTGGAACACCTCTTTTAGGTAATCAGCAAAAACGTTAGATTTTTCTTCATCACTTCGCGCCCAGTTTCCAAGAGAGTTTCTTATTGGAGAATCGGAGTCTATGGGAGGATTTATACCTTTGCTAGCATTCCACAAAGATGAATGGTTTTTGCCATTTGGACATAAGTTTTGAATATAATTATATTGTCTGACTTTGACTTCCTTGTTTAATGCAGATCTAAGTCTCCTTTGGGCGTCCTTAAATAAATTTTGCGCTAAAGGGGACCTAGATTTTTGCCATTCACGCCTTAATCTACGTTTTTGTAAAACTAAATTCTCTATGTCACTATTTGTAAGAACTCTATTGAATCTGTAAATTTTATTGCCTTTAGGGGTGGAGTTTTCTGCTGCTGAAATCAGAATTGAGTTTAAAACCGAGGTTGCGTCCTCAATATGAGACTTACACTTTATCTTGTAATTTGTGTGTATGTGTGAGTTAATATACTTTTTATATTTGAGCCAGTTTGTTCTAGGACTTGTAAGGCTATAGGAACAGTCATATAACTGAGGACCATCAAGTAAGCAAAATGTAACTGGAGAATGGTCAGAAGACAAATCGCAGCTAGTGTATGTTGAGATAAAAATTTTGCTTATGCCTTTGGATACGGCGAAGTCTATTAGGTCTGGTATTTTATTGTTATCAGCAGGCCAATATGTTGGCTTGCTGATAACATGCAAAGCATTAATTGGCTTTGCATTTTAACTATCTCGTTAAGAGTAGTTTGCATGACTGACATGAACTGAGTTAAGCTCTGAGTGAGAGTGGAGATCATTATTTCCAAACTATTACTTTGAACTGGAGGGGCTTGTTGCTTGTCAGATTTAACGACATTAGCATATGAAACACCTGGTGTAACAGGCTTAGAAGTTAAAGGTTGAGGTAATTCAACTAATTTAATGGTGTTGCTTCTTGTAGGATTACGCAACGCTTCTTTCTGCAGAGCTAACCTGTGCTTTAGTTCTTTATAAATAGGACAGCCTCTGTACTTTGCAGTGTGATTTCCACTGCAGTTGCTACATTTTTTGGAGTGGGTATCCTTTAATGCTTTTTTATCGCATTCGGAACTATGGTGAAGCTCGCCACAAGCTACGCACACTGTACGAAGAGTGCAATATGACTTAGTATGGCCATACTCTTGGCAGTTTGTGCATTGCACCGGACCATTCCTTTTGTGGGGCTCCTCAACGCTAATTCTGCGGTGAAGTAAATACTGTAGGTTGTAGATGGGATGGCTCTCATTTTTTTAAGCTTAGAAGCTTCCGGGTGAAGTTCAACTTTGAACATAGGTTGTGGGATTTTATCTTTGTTAACAATATTTATTACTGCTCTAGCGCTAAAGCCTTTTTCGCTTAGGGCATTTGTTATCTCAATGGGTTCTACATCTGATTCGATGCCTTTAATTACGACAACAAGGCCCTTACTACTCTTTAGTTGGTATGTGTAGTAATTTTTTTTGCTGTCTTCGAAATATTTGGTTATGACTCTAAAATTGTTTTCAGTGTCGATTTGGATTTTGGTTTCGTGTATATTGCCCCTAGTTATAGGAACAATATGAAAAGTATTATTTCCAATCAGACTTGCAAGGATTGTAACTAGGTTATTTGAGCTGCGTTCACGCAAGTAGATTGGAGGCGGTTTAAAATTTTTGTTAATAGGCT